GGATTTAGGAAATTTGGGGCCCTAGGCAAAGACAGGCAGGGGGCCCCCTGAGAAGAAAACCCATAAAACAGACCCATTCTACAGATAGAGAAATGTTAATAGAATAGACATCCATTATTTGTTCTAGGTTTTGTCCCTCTCTTCTTGTCCCTTTTTCCTCTCTATTTATCAGCGTTCTGATGGCATTTTAGCCAAAGGATTTTTATCAAAAACATAATTAATGTGCACAAATAAGGATTAGTTGTATTAACCATACATGGAAACAGAGTTTTATGGGGCCCCCAGAACTTGGGGCCCTGGGCAACTGCCTAGTATTGCCTAATGGTAAATCCCCCCCTGGATACCCTGCTGGTGGATGTTCTTGACAGAAAGACGGAGTTGCTTAATCATATTCTGCTTAAGGTCCCATAAGATCTTGTCCGAGTCCTGGTTTAAAAGTAAATTAATTTTAAAAAGTGACCCAAAATTGACTGTCAATAAATGTTCTACAAAATTGATATATTTATTTGATTTCTTTGATTTGTACTGTCTGTTTAGATTTATGTGATATTTTTTGCACAAAATATATAAGTGAATATTGTAACAGTTATGTTTTCAACTGTAAGCATTAAATTGATAAATGTTATTCGCATTTTTTTGGCTTTATCCTTTCCAACAAAAAAAAAAAGGCGTCGCGCAGGTAGCTCCCTTTCCTTATGAGCCGTCCCCACCAACTTTCAACACAAAGTTACACCCTTGTCTTAGACAACGCCTTAGCAGGTGCACTGAAAAAATTAACCCTATCTTCTAGGGGCTAAGCCACCCTTGTCTCTCAAACCTAGAGACGCCCCTGACCTACTGTATGGACTTCTGCTAAAGAACGCTTAATGTTAACATGCTTCAGCATAGTGCAAATGTGGACTGAGTCAAATAAATATGTATTAATGTACAAAATTTAGTATCAATGTACAAAGACGGCCAAGATATGGAGGTATTTTAGCAGTACTTATAGACTAAGTCCTCGTTATGCATTATATTCCTCATTCTGCATTCATTCTTCATTGTAGGCCCACTCTTTTTGTTCCCTCACTTTAAGAAAACAAATAAAGGATTTTAAAACCTGTTGTCTTAATGGATAAAACACAGTTTGTAAAAATACCTTTATAGATTATTCTGTAGAATATGCTGATCGTTTTCATTTACAGTATGGCTGCAATAATAATACAAATACATTTTAAGCTTAACAGCCCCTGTATTTCCTCCTAAGCATCTCTGCAATGGCGTGTCGTATACCAGCATGTCCCATTGCTCTCAGCGCCACCAGTTCCTCTCTCGAGCATGTAACAAAACCAGCTCAGTGTTGCATGTTCAATGAAAAGTTAAAATCGTCCCACAGTTGGAAAACAGTAGAATAAATTAGAAGGTATAAAGCTGAAAAAAGGTTAAAAAGAGCAAACAAAGAGTCGAAACTAGAGAGCTACTGGAGAGCTACTACAAACTCTGCTTTTCTTCCACTTAATGCTAGATTTTGTTGTGCTAATTCTATAGATGAATTTTCTTTCCAAGATGGCTTAGCATTTATACTCCAAACTATTTTATATTCCAGTATTTTCATGATTCTTTTTGGTCTTATTTCAAACACATTTTCTGATTATTCTGCTGTATAATCACTTTTACGGAAATATGTATATAGTCCACCCTGAGTGAAAACTGTAATTAAGTTAAGATCAATCATGAGGTAACTATGGACAGCAGAGATGGCAAAAGTACTCACTTTCCGTACTTGAGTAAAAGTACAGATACTTGTGTTAAAAAATACTCTGGTAAAAGTGGAAGTACTGATTAAAATTCTTTACTCAAGTAAAAGTAACAAAGTACAGGCTTGTAAATTTACTTAAAGTATATAAGTAAAAGTAGAAACCACTTTTTTCATGCCGTTGCCTACATTTTAAATGGATGTCTGCCAATAGGACTAGATGTCCGTTGCGTTCATTTTCATCATCTCATCGTCCATGCTACTATGCTAACGCCACCGCCACCAAGCTGCAATGATTTGCCGCGAATGAATCTGTCGATTCATCTTGTAGTGGTGCGTCAAATGCAACATACAGTAGATTCCCATCCATTTAGATTGAATTTGGTATTGATGACGTGAAAAATAATAACGGTAACTCCATTGAAATGATTCAAAACTAAAGTAACGAGCCAATTTTTTAAAATGTAAGGAGTAGAAAGTACAGATATTTGTGTAAAAATGTAAGGAGTAGAAGTAAAAAGTCGCCATAAAAATAAGTAGTAAAGTAAAGTAAAAATATCAGAAAAATCTACTTGAGTACAGTAACGAAGTATTTGTACTTCGTTACTTCCCATCTCTGATGGACAGTCATGTAAATAACAATTAAATATTCTCATTGTTTAACAGGTGTAGTTGCACATGAATGTGATATGCTGAGTTACAGGTAATTTGCTATTTTTTTTGCTGTGCAATGGTAAGGATGTAGGGTGTAAACAATTTATTGGGTAGCAACACGTTTACACCTAGGGTACTCAAGTATCTAGCCCTGTCCCTGCTCGTATTTCCTATTGTTTGTATTTGGTCTGTATGGTCACTGGACCAACCACAATAAAGACAAACTTTGTTTTCCATGGACAAATGGTACAGACCATAAATCCATCTTACTCAGACACAATTCTCTGTGTGTCTGATTTGTCAGTATCGTGGGGACTGATCGATCACATTTTGCAGGTGAGTTACCAATTTGTGAGCTTAGCTTTAATGTGCATTCTGACCATATCCTCGCTTAACCCACTTCATTCATCCCCACATGTTTTGTGGTCTCTTTGGTGACAATTTTTTTCAACATTTTCAGTTATGCTTTTTCATTAAAGTTAGTTAGACAGATGGCACACATATGGGAGTATGAAGAAAGGCATTGAGTCAAGGTGAATAGAATAGAAATAGCCTTTATTGTGCTAGCAAATGTATCACATAAAAACAGGGGCAAATATATAAAAACTAAGAAACTTTCTGACATGCCAAGCAGGAAATTTAGCTTTGCTGGAGCAGTGTTACAGGTGTTAAAGGACAGTACCACTACTGTAGTTACAAACCCCTTTTCTAAATGTACGAGGAACACAAAAATGAAATGAAAAATTTATGCAAAAAGTGGCAAAAAAGGAAAATGATGAAAACACAATTTCCAAAGAAGAACAACACACAAGCACCTTGGGATTGAAAAACATTTTTATAAATGTAGTTATATTGTGTGCTCTATGAAAAACCAGTGCAAACCACTTACCTGCGTGTCTAAGGGATAGCCAGTAGTTTAACTTTAATTCATTGTTGTTTTTTTTGTTAGATCAGGGGTTCTAATTTTTTATAAAATGAAAAAATTGTGCTTAAAAAGAATATTCCTCGATAATTACTGATATTAATATGTTAAATGTGTGAAAACATGTCAAATTAAAATATATGTTATTTCTTAGTAGAATAATTGTTAACAAATAAAAACATAATTAAGGTATTATATATACAATTATGAGTAAAAATTTGACAAATTTTATAACATTTTGAGAAAGTATCACTGCAAAATCTAATCAAAACCTTAACAATTCTGATTAAATTTTAAATAAGCAGGCTTTATAATTTAAACTTCACTTCTGTAGTTTATCAGCATGTTAGAAACTAATTATCAGGCATCAATTATTTTCTGTTTAACTAAGAGTTTTATGACAAAGAAGCCCACTCCTAAAGAATTTAAAAACAACAGAGCATGCCAGAGCATTCACTAAGACAGATGCAACTACATTTCACAAGCCAGGAAATGATTAAGCAACAAACTTAACAAAAATAAATTAATGAAATAGAAGAGAAAACAAAGCTGTACCTAGATCCAAGTTTATATCTGTCAACATGCACAGTAAGAAAAGATGCACATATCTCCAGAGCTCACTGCAGGATGAGAGTTGATGGGTCTCTATAGCAGACATTAAACACCATCTAAAGCAGCCATTGTTTAGGGCAAGAAAATAAAACTTTTTCCTACCATCACAGCTGCTTATATGCAATGTCCTTAAAACTACTTTAAATGTATCTTGCAAAACACAGACATATATATGAAAGACACCTTGTAATAAATATTCTTCAGGATCTTTGGCATTAATCAATATGTGGCGTTACAGCAAATCAAATGATGTGAAAAGTTAGAAAAGATTAGGAAAATTAGAAAGAAAATAGAAAATTGTATTAGGAAAAAAATACAATAGTAAAGAATATAACCATTCAAAAGTTTCTTTAAAAAACTATTGATGTTGTACTAAAAGTTCCTTTTTCTTTTCTTATTTTTGAAAGTTTTGCTTGTTTTATTGAACAAACCTTAGGGTTACTATTAAAATGAGGGAAGTGAGCTGTAGGTGCTATAACGAAAGTCATTATTCCCACATAAATTAATAATGGAAATAAAGAAGCTAAAAACTTTGCATTCCAGTCTGCATCCATCTTCCATCACAAAAAGATCAAATGTGATCTTGACTTTCTGCTTCCATGCCCGAGTGTGTTAAGAGATTGTATTAGCATGAGGATACCTCCAGCCTTGATGAATCATTCTGTTTCAAGCAGGCCTAAAAGGGAAACAAGCATTCAGCTATACAGCAGATATTATGTCAAAATTGCTTTTTTTTTTCAGTTTCAACAAAGGTTCCAATTTAAGAAAACGAGATGAAATAGCATGAAATATTTTATAAATGTCAAATTCATTTTAAATGAGAGAGAACAATAGGCAAAATTAATTTTAATCTCAAATAAAAAAGGTATTTCGATTTTGGTATACTAACCAGCTGTGACATAATAGATATAAATTACTCTGTTCTGCGCTTTTTCCAGCTTCTCATCACAGGTATGCTGGAAAACTTGTCTAAGATGATGAAAACTTGTGAGTGACGTCAGAAGGTTGATTAAATATTGAAATTAGGTAGTGAAAGACAGGGATGAGCATTGAAATCCCCCTGGAGGTGAACAAAAACACTGCGCTGCTGAGAGTTTGGGGCGCGCTGAGACGCAGAGGATCTTTTTCTCCAGCCCAGCAGAGATCTACTGGAAAACGATGATAACAACCAGAAGGCTGTGCGCTTCTGTGAAGATTGGGCACCCTAACTTTTTTCTTAACTCGTTTTACTGAGAACTGACCTCGCTTTTTCATCGTATCCGAGTTTCCCATGAGTTCATCTGGCAGACGGACATATGCGCACCGTGCAGGCTCTCACCGTAGACCGACAGTAGAGGAAAACTCCGATGGAAAACCATGCAGCACTTTGAATCCATGGAGACATGGCGCAAAGACTCCTCACATCTGCAAATAGAGTCAGCGCTAGATTCGTCTTCATATTTACTTTGTCCCTATCCTGTGCGTACCTATGCTATAATATCATTTTTTATCGCGGCACACTCATGACAAGCCAGGGTTACGTCGGGAAGCGCTGCCCGCCGAGCAAAAACGCTGGAGGGAAGAAACTTCTTGGGAAACTGGACAATTGTGCTTCCCTGGATGTCAGGTCGGCTTTTCAGCAGCGAGGATCAAGTGATCCCAGGGATCAGAGTAAAACCTCGTCTTCGCCTCGTGCTGAGGTGAATTTGAAAAACATAACTGTTGCGCAGAAATACGGTAACAAGAAGCTACCCAATGCATTGATAGTAGGCGTAAAGAAAGGGGGAACCAGGGCGGTTCTGGAGTTCATCCGGATACATCCAGATGTTCGCGCACTCGGAACAGAGCCACACTTTTTTGACAGAAACTATGCTAGAGGACTGGACTGGTACAGGTGAGGGAAATGTGTTTTATTTTCTCTCTTCTTACGAGGTTTAATGATCTGAAGCAGATATTTAAAATCCCAAAGGCTTCATTTAGGAAAAACAAACTTGAAAGGTTTCCTGATATGATTAAATGGGTCTCCACTCTGACACTCATGCAACCCCTTTAAGTATCTCCTGCTTAACACTAGATGTCCCAGAGATTTTCAGTTTTCCTGCAAGCCCCCCTCCCCTCTGCAAGTTTGTGTATTCACTCTGCCTTGCTAACTGTCCCTATTGTAATGCAAATAACCTGTGATATGACCAGCCCTTCTACATTAAGACTGGATAAAGGCTGAAACAAACTGGCATCAAGACCATGTTCCAAGCACTTTTCAGTACCTGCCCCTGCAACATCATACCTTTTTGCAGGAATATATTTATATGTCATATCTAAATATTTTATTTAGGCAAACCTATTGAACAACCAGATATCATAGTGGTCCTAGTTCCTGAGCTGAGAACAAGTCATAACCATGCTTTTCCAACAAGGCACGGCAGAGCCTATTTCTATTATCCATTCACCAACAGACTCATTTATATTGCAAAGCTCACTATATGAAAGAAAGAATAATTGTATTTTGTCTTGTCTCGCCTTTTTATGTCATTCAAAATTTAATCTTAGAGAATGACAAACAGTATGCCTTTAGTATTGGAGTAACATTTATGTCACAAAAGGAACAGCCCTAGTCTCTTCATCTCACAATGCTGTCTCATGTGTTCTTCCTTTATTGCCTTTTCTTGCATACAAATGTTACGAAGTTCATTTGCAAGTAGCAGAATTAAGTTTGGTGGACTCTCTTTGGTCCCTGTGCACGGCTTTTACAACACATGCTCGTCTGTTGCAGCCAAGCTGACACTAAGTTTCATGTCACGTCATAGATTACAGTGTGGATGTCAGTGGTTTTTCAGCAGATCTTGGTTTCCCCAATTATCATCTGACTTATAATATATCAAACCCGGGCTAAATGTTACAGTTTTAACATTTTAACTAAGGGAACAGATGGTATAACAATCAAATTCTATCTACATGTAAACTATAAAGTTATTTACTGAATTTTGGGTTTAGCTGTTGGATGGATGGATGGATTTGCACCTTTTGCACTCAGTTTGCAATCGATTTATAACTATATCTTATTTATGTATCTATGAAACTAAGTGAAATAAGTTAAATCCTGTTGATTTATTTTTTTAATACTAGAACTTTAAAACATATCCACAGAGAAAGGCCTCAGGCTGGAATTAAAACCACTTCTCCATGCAGTGTTACAAACTACATCACCAGCCAGGTTCCTTCAACCTTATAAATGCTTTCTATACAATTAGATAATTAAATCATTTCAAACATAGCCCTATTCTCTTGTTGCAAGGTTATTTGGCTCGGAATAGCCAGCAAAGCTATGAGTCCCTGGAACACATTGCAATGAGCAAAAAATCTGTTGGGAAATTATATGAATGATTTTTGTGTAGGATTTACTATTGGCAAATAAAGTGGGATTTACCCATCCTATTCTAGCTCATTGAATTTTTTGGACTGCATTTACCATAAATAAAAAAGTTATTAGAATATATATATATATATATATATATATATATATATATATATATTTTTTTTTTTTTTTTTTTTACTACATGTGTAATATGTGAGTGATCAATAATAATTGAAACAAACTTTTCAATATCTTAATATAATAATAATATCTTCTAAGACACACGGTTTTTGAAAATGCAAAAAAAACATAAATATCAAATGTTGAACATAACTAATATGGCAAAAAGAACAAGTTTATAGTTAAAAATTAAATTTTTCTATCAATGATTCGTTAAAAGTATCAACTGTTGTACCTTTTTTTCTAAGTGAGAATTTAATGTAAATCCTGGATTAAGGTTTGATCAGAAAATAATTTAAAAAAACTGTTAACAGTACAATAGATATGTTTTATACATACTGTATTACCTATTATAAACTAACCTTGCCAGCCATACTGACTTACATTGTGTACACTGCATATCAGTCTGGATACGAGCATGCACAGGTGAATCCAGAAGAACTAATGTGTTTAAAGGCGGAACTCACAGTGTCAGCAGAAAAAAAGTTTAGAACCAGTTAAATGCCTATAGATGTGACGTAAAGTTTCAAAGCTCTGATAGTTTCTTTTTGTTGAAATTTGAAAATCCTATCCAGCTCTTTTGGAACATCAATAAAACATTGCTCTATTGTAGTTCTAATCTTGACTGTTATGCTTACAGAAAACGACTGCTGCATTATTGGCCCACATCCTGCGCTCTGATTGGTCTGGTCAGTTTAAGACATGGGAGTATTGAGCCTTACCGGAAAAATGTGCGCCCTGTATCAGCCCATCTAGCAGGGCAGTTAGTTATGAAAGTTCCTTTATAAAAGTAAGGTTGTAGTAGTCATGCTTTTCCAAGAAAATCTCAGGGAAACATACATGTGCATATTAAGTACAGAAACAATAAATTTTATATGCTAATATCAAGAAATGTTGGGCTTCGTGTAATCACAAGATTTACCCACCAGCCAAAATAAGATGATGCTCTGTCATGTTCATATTCTTTAACAAAATGTTGCTATTTTGGTATGAATCTTAACTTTGTGTCAGAGCAATAGACCAAAGAAGTGTTATGAACGTGAACTAAAAATATGATGAACTTAAATTAATTTAGACATTCAACGTTTCTGGCGTTTTTTTATTGTCAGCATTTTTATTTTCATTACACTGTCACAAGTGGAGAGCAATGAAATGAACTCTCTGCATTTAACCCATCCCCTTGGGGAGCAGTGGGATGCCATTGTATGGTGCCCGGGGAGCAGTGTGGGGGTTAAGGGTCTTGCTCAGGGAGCCAGAGTGGCAGTGTTACAGCTGCAGTGTGTTTCTGCCCTTTTCCTTGCAGGGTTCTGGAGGCAGGCCTTCTGCAGGTGTTCTATTTTGCCCTAATTGGTGCTCGTCTGCTTTAAAAGCTGTCATACAAGCAGCAGACAGGAGGCTTCTCCCTCTTTCCTCCTCAGAACCCCATTTGGTTTGGTTTGTATCCTATGGTTGGGTTTTGTTAAGTTTGTTTGCATTTACTTATTTCTGTTTAGTTATAGGTTTTGCATTAATCCATTTTTGATTTTCCATTTTATTTATCCCTTTTTTCAGGTTCTGTTTCTTTAGTATAATTTAATAAATTAAATTTTCAGTTAATAAGAAAATCCTTCTGTGGTCTCCTGTAATGTTACCCCCACCAAACAAGCCTGGTGGATGTAACAGGCAGTCTGTGGGAGTGGGGCTTGAATTCAGAACCTCAGGATTTCGACGCCCTAACCACTAGGCCACCACACCCCAAAGCAGGCATTAGCATGAAGCGTCTTGCCTTAGGACCCACACTGGCAGCTTATTCCCCCCCAGCTGGGATACTAACCCAGGCTTCCAGCCAGCCACTCCTTTGATTCAAAGCAAAATCTTTTATTGCACCTGAAGTTCTATTCACAATGTATTTGTTTAAAATGATTTAGTATCAGGAACATAGTTGTACCATATTGAAATATGAAACCCGATAGTGATGACTACAGGTATAACAAAACATATGCAAAACAAAACTTAAACTCTAACGTGTAACTTAAAGTACCATACATTTTTGTACTTACCCAAAAATCCAACCATCATCAGAGCCTATTAGTTAGCCCCTGTTCACTATAGGAAGAATGTGTTTAATCAAAAGGGAATTTAAGCCTCCTCATTAAATTCGTCTATATGTGTATGGTATCACCATACACATATAGACGAATTTAATGAGGAGGCTTAAATTCCCTTTTAATGACATTTCTTAATCGTTTTAGCCATTACATTATTCTAGGTAGTATAGGTCATTTGTATTTTCCATTAGTTTTTTTGTTTGTTTTTTTTTGTTGCTTCTCATTCCTAAAACAGAGGATGTACATGTACAAACTAAAGAACAATTGTGTTTGCAGAGAGGACTATCAGCCCTGACCTTGTCTCCATCAAGGAGTTTTACAGGGTCACGTAAAGGACAGCAGAGTCTCTGTGGACCCCACTCATCCTGGACGCAACCTGTGTAGACTTTTACCTTCAGGCCAGCACTATAGACTGCTTTTTAAAAAATAAATAGCCACCATATAGACTGATCCTTCCTACAGGCTGTCAGTGAGTGAGTCCTTTCAGCTTCTCTCTTCAGGGGTGGTCACAGCAAGTCATCACTACTTGCACAATGTCTAATGAAAACAACAGACGTCTTAAGCCCAAGTAGCTATAGTTTATTTACTCTAAAACATAGCACAATTATATCGCGATAAAGCAAATATTATTTTACATTTGTTTAACTCCCATCTTTCTGTTTTCCTTTCTTGCTTTAGACAATATAGTGTGTACATGCTGTTCATTTTATCCTCAATTTCCCCTTGTTTAAACACTTAAAGCTTTAAGCATGTGAAACTCATATTTAAATCTTCTTAAGCATGTCCCATGTATGTTGGGCAACAGCCTTTAAACAAATACAAAATATTTCAGTACTTGTGAAAGGATGTAAATAGCATGATCTCTAAAAGATTCAGTAACACCTTACAGATGCAAAATTCTTATATTCTTTGTTTAATCCCCCCCCCCCCCCCCCCCCCCCCAAAAAAAAAAATTGATTGTAATCACAATAATGAGGTTAGGCAGGAGTGTTCCGTAAGAGCTTGAGTCCCAACTCTATTATTAGGACTGACTTCACAGTTACACATATACTGGATAGCTTTAAATATTATTACATGCATGGGTTTTACTACTGTATATCTGAATTAGCACAATTCTTGTGGTGGGGATTGAGAAACAGATGATGCTTTATAATCTGGCCTTTATGATACAAATTTAGTATCATATTAACCTTGTCTAACAAAAAGCAAAGTAAATAGTTGGATTTCTGTATTAGTCCAAGAACACCATTACATCCTAAACAGGTGATACACTTG